AATCCTGTTAAGAGTGCCAAGGTCTCTGATTGATTTGGGTGAAACTTTGCAGATCAAGTAGGGCCAGAAAGCCCTGAATATAGCAAAAGTGGTACAGTATAGTAATAAGTGGAGGGCTTTGCCTTATCAACATGCAGCACTGGCCAAATCCAGGGAAATATTGCATCCCTTCTTGGAGCTCCCCAGTGCCAAACTCACTCACTCTATGGAGAGGATTTGTCAGAGCATTTGAGTTATGCTCAGTTTAGCAATGGACTCTGGAGGCCTCTGCTGTCTCAAAGCTATTAAATCATGTCTAGTGAAACTGAAGATCACTCTTTTTTCAGAACAGCAGAAAGTAGTTGACTAAGCTAGATTCTGTTTTAATAATTGGCCACTTTTTTTTTTTTTTTTGACAGATCTTCCCCTTCTCTGCCCCCCTGTTTTTGGCTGCATGCACTAATTGATGTAAAATATACATATGAGGTAATTTGCATGAAAAGTATAACACATACTAACGAAATCAAAGTAGCTGAAACTGAAAGTACAACATTTGTAGAAGAAAAACATGTACCCAAACAGCTACATAATAGTATTTAGTTGAATTTAATTCTTGGTATAGATTTGGCATGAATTATATATAATGATTTAATTCTTAATTATAATTTAATTCTTTATTCTAATTAATAATATATGGCATGGATTATATATAATCCATGCCTCCTCCTCCCCTCTCCCCCCCACACTTTAATTCAGCTAAATACTATTATATAGCAGTTTGGGTGCATGTTTTTCTACTATAAATCTGATAATTTCACAGTTTCAGAGAGAGATAATAAAAAATAAATAAATTGTAACTAACAGATGCATAGTCTTGCAGTGATCTTTAGCTTTCTATCTGATGCTGGCATTTAAGGCCAAGTTTCTAACCCTTATTCCTGTGCCTCATACCTGCTTCTATTCACAGCTTGCTAAGACCAGTTGGGCTACTCACTGGATGCGTTTACATGAGATGTTTACTGCAGAGCTGCCTAAGTAGCGCCACAGTAAATGTCTCGGTGTCTACACCTGCAATCACATTAGGTTACAGGAAACTAATAAACTCCACAGCAGGTTAATACTTTTATTGCTTTGAATTCATTGCAGTCTATTGCTTTGAATTAATTGCACATGTAGGCGCACCCACTATATCTGATTATGTTTGTACCTTCACATGAGGCAGGGGTGGGCAATTATTTCAGGCTGAGGGCCGCTTACCAAGTTTTGGCAAGTTGGGCGGGGCTACCCATGCAGCCCTTGACCTTGACAGGTGCCTCGCCCCCTGTTTGCCATCTTGGGACCAGAAGTCCTGCTCCTAACCTCTGACCTTTGCCACTGGAAGTCCCTCCCCTTACCCCTGGAAGTACTCCTTTGGGGAAGAGAGTTTGACATCTTAGGGGACAAAAAACATTACATACTAAAAAATCAAACATCCATCATAATATATTTTAATTTAATTAAAAAATATATTTTTGCCCTGATTTGTGGGTGTTTGTGGTGTATATGCAGAAGCGATTGCATATGGGGTTTGTGTGGATGTGTGTGTGTTGGTATGGGAGCCATGTAGTGAGGAGTGGGTAGGCAAGAAAGTGGGGAAAGCGGCAGGGGGGAGTGGAAGTGAGCAGGAGCATGGGGCCTACACCAATATCCCAGGACCAGTGCTGGCAGGGCCTAGAGTGGGGTGGTAGGACTGCGGGGCACAGGCTGGCAGAGGTCCATGGAGCTGGGCTGGGTTGTACCAGCAGGGACAGGGGAGAGCTGGCCCAGCTCCATAGAGCCCCTGTTGGCCAGGACCCTGCGCTCCTGCTGCCCTGCTCTGGGCCCTGCCGGCACTGGCCCTGGGACATTGGCACGGGCCCTGCACTCCCACCAGCTCACTCCCAGTGCCCTGCCCCAGCCCCGCGGTAGAGGCAGGGAGCAGCACACAGCCCCAACCCTGCACTCACCTGTGGG